GCTCCGAGCTAGAGGGTTGCGGCGGAATCTGATCTCCTGCAGGGTCAGCGGGAATTCCTGAGGGGTCCCAGCCCCAAGTCTGTGGAATTAGAGCTTGGAGTAGAGGTCCAAGGGTGTGCGATTGGGTAAAACGGCAGTTGAGGGATTCTCGTGGAATAGATCAGATGTAGGGACCAATCGGTGTTCGAGACCCTCGCCCCACCTCAGGGACTGTGAGAATCAGGGCCTAATGGGAGAGATTCGGTTCAAACCAAATATAATTTGTGAAAGACTCCATGGATCTCCAAGTAGACGTGGGCTCCCGAAATAATACATTTAAAACATGGTTAAAAGAAATAGAAGATTCGGAGCCTTTTTCAGTCAAAATTTCTAAGAAATAATGTGAAAATCGTTTTGGGGTAGTATTAGAATGTCAGTGTCCTAGGTAGGAAACTTAAACGCTTTTCCTGAGAATCTCAGAAAAACTTAAACAACGCTGTCCTCCCTATGTGCCTCCTAAAACAGCTGTCATTGCGTGGGGCGGAGGGAAGGCTTACAAGCATGTGTGAGAGCATGTTTCATTTTAAAATTCCACAGACTGTACCAGAATAGTAGTCTTTCCTAACTTCGTGGGGACTTTTTACCAGTACAGAACAGACTCTTTTAAATGTTAAGTAGGACTTCAGAGAGGGAAAGCGTAAAATCACATACACAGTAGATTATCAGTGTAAGTGATAAGCAGGCAAATTATAATTATGTGGCTACCTTAATGAATGAAATGTCTTGTGTTTGCAAATGTGAAAAATCGTTGTATGTGTAACATACCAGAAAATCAGGAATTACCCTAACTTTCATCCTCCCCTCTGCATACTACTTAGAGCAGATCGGGATGTATTCCTGAATTCTAAAATGTTAATTTCTTATTATATCCAATAGTATTTTTACCCACATGCTTTGATCTCTCCTCTTGGTCTCCTGCCAGCTGGACTCTTAAGGGGTTCCTACTCATTCTTTTGTTGGCCTTCTAAGAAGCTGGTTTTCATTTTGTTTGGTCTTCGATAATATAATCAGAAAAACCTATTAGTTAAAAAGCCATTTCATAAGACAGAATCTGACATTTTAAAGAGGTATCAATAGCCTCAATCACTGATCCCCAGTAGAAGCCCACAGGAAAACTAAACCAAAAGAAAACAAAAAAGCTGCCAACATGCAGCTTCACTCCGTAAACTCACGCAGGCAGTGAAACCTGGAGAGGAAGTTGTTCTCGGAGATACTATCCAGAGACCCCTTGGAATGCAGTCCTGACGGCCTGGGCTCTGCTTAAACAGGAAATCAGCTACATCGACTGCAGGAGGCACCCTTTGTACGCTGCTTTACTGAACCATTACAGAGAGTATCTCAAATGCCCATGGATTTGGTGATCTTTTGTTCCATGATCTTTATCTGATTTAATTAATGAAACGAGAGAAAATTCACCTAGCAATTTCATTTGAAGAAAGAATCAATGCCTTGTTAAAAAATAATTTAAAAAAGAAAGCTTTGAAAATTCAGATTGTTTAGTGAAAAAGTTAATAGCAAATGACGGGAAGAGTTTGTGCTTTAATAGCGTCGTTACCTGTCACGTGGTCTCTGAGTCTCAGTATTTTGACTGTCACGGAAGGAGAAGGTGCTTGTCTGTTTAAGTGTTTCTGGACAGAGCCTTGTCCGGAGCCACGTGCTGAAGTTTAACATAGTTTATCTTACTTGACATGGCATTTGGTTCCTACCACTTCTGTCTACTGCCTCGCCCTTAAATGCTTTGGGAATTTGCTTTTCAAAGAGATCCATGGCAAGTCTTTAGGTTGCTATAAAGTGAATACCCAAACCCAAACCCGCTGCTGTTGAGTTGATTCCAACTCATAGCGACCCTATAGGACAGAGGAGAACTGCCCCGTAGGGTTTCCAAGGCTGTCATCTTTATGGGAGCAGACTGCCACATCCTCCTCCCGCGGAGCAGCTGGTGAGTTCGAACCACCAACCTTTTGGTTAGCAGCTGAGTGCTTTAACCATTGCACCACCAGGGCTTTTTCTTGTAAAGTGAATACCTAGTCCTAAGTTAATTTTTTAAAATTCTTCCTTTATCTGGGCTTTCGTATATGAGCTTAGCATAGAGCAGAGCTCACCTGTTAAAGGTTTTAGCACATCATTTCCCAGAGTCCTAGAAGGTTTTCACTAGCGTCTCCAGCTCCCTGACTGACCATGTTGCTTTGAGACAGACAGAGGTGGGCAGATTACTGAGCGCCCAGCCCCAAGGTCGAAAACCCCCCTCTTCCTAAATGCTCTTTGCTAGAAACACGTTGTCCACGGGGCCCCTTGGAAAAACTCACTTCTCTGAAAGGTTTTTCATTAGTACTCGAACAGTCCTTAGAAGCATGTGGGCAACATGAGAGCTTTTAAGGATACCCTCCATTTCCACTGCTCTTCTTGTGTGCCACATACTCGTTGTTTACAGTACTCATTGTTTACAGACTCGTGGAGTATTAGAAGCAGAAAGGAAGGGCCTTTTACAGATAACACTATAGCCTAGAGCGATTAGGGGGCTTGTCAAAAGCTGTAAAACTCGTTAGTTGCACAGCAAACTGAGCTCCAGCTCTTATAGCCACATCTTCTATTAAAAGGAAATGTAGCCTTCAGGGTAAGGAAGTGGCCTCTGCAGCCAGACTGCCCAAGGTCAAACGCCAGTTTTGCCACTTTACCAATTATGTAACCATAAACAAGTTACTTAGCCTGCCGTGCCTCAGTTTCCCCAGCCATAAAATGGGGACAACACCTCTCAGGGTCGATGTGAGGATTAAAATAACATGCAAAGTGATTAGGACATGCCTAGCATATAGCGAGCACCCAGTAAGCCCCGGTCATCTTCACTATTAATTGCCTTTCACCATTGTTGCCTTTCAAAGGTAGGTTTCTACATAGCTGGTGAAGTTTACCAGTACCTGAGAACCTGTGATGCATTCAAATGTATTCAGCAACAACATGACTATTCTAGAGTTTTGTTTAAAAAAAAAAAATCCATGTTGACAATGGCTGAATGGGGTGAGCCTGGTCCATTGAATTTCCCAGGTGTATTATTCTAGGGGTCTCCTTGGGTGGTGCAAACAGAAAGGTTGGAGTTCACCCAGAGGTACCTCGGAAGAAAGTCCTGGCAATCCACTTCCAAAAAAATTGGCCATTAAAAACCCTATGGAGCACAGTTCTGCTCTGACACACGTGGGGTCACCATGAGTCAGAGTCCCTTCGACGGCAACTGGTTGTTCTAGAAGCTTGGTGAACACAAACAGGGAAACGGGTATGGCTCTAAGTTCTTGGAAATTATCGTGTCATTGCCTGGAGTTAGCTTAGTTGTCAACATTAAA